CAGCAGCAGCAGCAGCAGCAGCAGCAGCAGCAGAGGGTCACCGGTGATGAGGTCGTTCCAGCTGTTGGTGCGGACGCAAAGGTTGAGGAGAGTGTCAGCAGCAAAAACGTTCCCGCTGCTGCGGACAGCAGCAACATGAGAGTTTTCGGAAAGAAGTTTGAAAGACACGGGGCAGCAAATTTCTCCTTTTGCATTTTTGAAAAACTTTAATGCAAATAAATCTGCAAACCGCAGACGCTGCCCCGTGACCGGGCACTGGCACTCCAGCTCCTGTTGCTGCTGCTGCTGCTGCTGCTGCTGCTGCTGCTGTTTTTGCTGCAGCTTTTGCTGCTGCTGCATGAAGGAGAGGATGCAGCTGCGGTCGAAGACGGCGCCGCTGCTGCTGCAGACGGGGTCTTTGGCGGGGCAGAAGCAAAGACAGCTGCAGCAAATAAAAAAAATTTATTTTATTTTATTTATTTATTTGATTGAATTAATTTAATCTAACTAATTTAATTAACTTAATTTAATTTAGTTAGAATGGTTTTAATTGAGGCACAAGGGGGAATTCAATGCTCCCAGAAGAGCCTTTAAACATGCAAATTAAGACTGAGACATACAACGACATAAATATAAAGAAATTAAAAAAAGAAATAAATAAAATAACAAAGAAATAAGTAAAAAGAAATACTAAAAGAAATAAACCAAAAGAAATAAGTAAAAGGAAATGAAAAGAAATGAAAGAAATGGAAGGTAAAAGAGGCAGAAAAGAGGCAAAAAGGAGAAAAAGAGGAGAAAAATAGGCAAAAGAAGACAGCAGCAGCAGCAGCAGCAGCAGCAGCAGCAACAGCAGCAGCAGCAGCAGCAGCAGCTGACCAGCAGTAGAAAGGGAGGACCTTGTAGGGCAAATTTAATTTTGCTTTCTTAAATCCTCCCCACTCCGAAGAGTATTCGCTCTGCAGCAAATAAAGACGGTCTCGGTGGTGCTTGTGCTTCGGCATCTTCACCAGCAGCAGCAGCAGCAGCAGCAACAGCAGCAGCAGGGGTAGTGCAAGAGCAGCGTGCGCAGCAGCAGCAGCAGCCGCGGTGCAGCCAGCGGTGGAGGCGGGGGACGCGCGAGAGCAAATATGCACGATGCAGACACACACAGCCGCTGCTGCTGCTGCTGCTGCTGCTGCGGTTGCTGCTGCGGCCGCTGCTGCTGCTGCGGCTGCTGCGGCTGCTGTTGCCTTGCTGCTGCTGCTGCTGCGGCTGAGAAGTGTCAGAAAGGCAAGGAGGCTCCCCAGGCTGCTGTTTTTAGCACCTGCTGTTGACGCTGAGGTAGCAAGAAATCGACACGCTGCTGCTGCTGCTGCTGCTGCTGCTGCTGCCTGCTGCCTCGGCTCGGGTTGCTGCTGCAGTTAGCCCGCAGTTTGTCAATCTGCTGCGTTTATTAGCCGCTTCTCTTCCTTTTGCTGCTGCTGCGGTTGCTGCTTTTGCTGCTGCAGCAGTTGCAGCAATCGCAGCTACCGCGCTTGCTACTGCCGCTGCTGCTGCTGCGGTCGCTCTTGCTGCTGCCGCTGCTGTTCGTGCTGCTGCTGCTCGTCTGCTGCTGCTGCTTCTCTCAATGAGACTCTGCAGCCCTTCGAAGTTTCAAATGGAAGCGAACCTGCTGCTGCTGAAGCGCCGGCAGCAGGAAACAGCAGCAGGCGATCGGTGCAGCGAGCTGCTGCTGCCTTCTACGTTTGTTTGGAGCTCCTAATTTGAATTGAATGAGTTTTAAGGGACAAAAATATATTTTTATTGACAATAAATAATTAATATCAATTAAAAAGCTGCATTTTATGTCCCTAGCAGGAGCAGCAGCAGCAGCAGCCGCAGCAGCAGCAGCAGGGGCTGCATGCGCAGCAGCCGACCGCCAGGGAGCAGACTCGGCGAGACAGCCCGTGCGTGTCTGCTGCTGCTGCTGCTGCTGCTGTTTGCTGCTGCTGCTGCTCTTTTTGCTGCTTATTAATAGTTTGAACTGTTATTGCAGATTGACCATTTGTTAGTTTTCTATTTTAAAGTTTAAGGCTCGAGACGGCGCGGGGTGGCGGGTTCCTCCCCTGCTGCTGCTGCTGCTGCCGCTGCTGCTGCCGCTGCTGCTGCTGCTGCTGCAGCCTGCTGCAGTGCCGTTGGCGGCGGAGTCGCCTTTCTGTGGGCTTGCTGCTGCTGCTGCTGCTGCGCGGGGGCCAGCCGCTGTAGTGTACGTACACCCCAGCAGCAGCGCAGCAGAACGCGAGACAAGACACCGCAGAAACCCCACAAGCGATCGCGGCCCCACACCTGGGGTGTCCGTACACCTGAGCAGCCCGAGGGGCCCTGCTGCTGGCTGCATGCGCGAGCGCTGAGGCCTGAAGATGAGGAAACACGCAGCAGCAGGCGGGGCTGCCGCTGCTGCTGCTGCTGCTGTGTGCAGCTTGCTGCTGCTGCTGCTGCTGCCGTCCTCCGCAGTGGCCTTCGTACGCGCGCCTGCGCAGACGCTGTCGAGTTCGCTGCAGGTGGGCCCGTCTGCTGCAGCAGCTGCTGCTGCTGCTGCTGCAGCTCCTGCTGCAGCGGGCGCAGCAGCAGCGGGCGAAGCGCTGCGCGCGCGCTTTCTGCGCCGCTCCGCCGCCCCCGCCACCGCAGCAGCAGCAGCAGCAGCAGCAGCAGCAGGACAGGAAGAACCCTACGATGTTGCTGTTGTGGGGCTCGGAGTGGGGGGCCATGCTGCTTGTTTGCATGCAAAGTCTTTGGGGCTTCGCGTAGCAGCAATTAGTGGAGGTGACCCTGGGGGCACTTGTGTGAACAGGGGCTGCGTCCCCAGCAAGGCTTTGCTGGCAGCAGCAAGAAGGGCCCGCCTGCTGCAGCAGCAGCAGCAGCTGCAGCAAATGGGTCTCCACCTCGACCCTGCTGCTGTCCGCTTCGACCCCCAGCAGACCGGCCAGTACGCCCTCGGAGTCGCAGCCAAGGTCAGGGTTTAGGGTTTAGGGTTTAGGGTTTAGGGTTTAGGGTTTAGGGTTTACGCGCAGGGTGTAGGGTTTAGGGTTTGGGGGTGGTGGGGCGCGGGCGTTAGGCGCACCCCCCTCCCTCGGGCGGCCCGCTGGGCTTGTCGAGGGTT